CTGCCTTTGCCCAAATTTTGAAGCTGTACTCCTGTGACAGCAGCTTGGGAACTCTTAAGACTAGTTATGTAAGTATTGTTCTTGCCTTCTTTAAGACCCTGCAACTCCATTTTTGTTGGCAGGTTCGTCCCTTCACTTTAGGACAACTGAAGGAATTGTTGGGACGTACAGGAACTCTGGTGGAAGAGGCCTTCTGGATTGACAAGATTAAATCTCATTGCTTTGTAACGGTGAGGGGCAGAGGCTGATTCTCTAAATTGTGGTATATGTTTCTTTTTGTGCCCAACGTGGGCAGGTTTGAGGGCGCTGTGGCAAGTGGGTAGGATTGAAGGCCTGTTGTGACCCCTCTGCCCTCTCCCTTCGTCCACCAGTACTCAACAGTAGAGGAAGCAGTTGCCACCCGCACAGCTCTACATGGGGTCAAATGGCCCCAGTCCAATCCCAAGTTCCTTTGTGCAGACTATGCCGAGCAGGATGAGGTAAGAAACGTAGGGAGAGGGAGGAGAGGGAAAGGCATGGGAGGCCATCCTCTCCTGAGATTCCATCTCCCTCTTGTGTCTCCCAGTACCTGGGCTCCTTAGTGGGAGTGATATCATCTCCACCCTGACTGTCTTTGTTCCCCCTCTACCCACAGCTGGATTATCACCGGGGCCTCTTGGTGGACCGTCCCTCAGAAACTAAGACAGAAGAGCCAGGGATACCACGGCCCCTGCACCCTCCACCCCCGCCCCCAGCCCAGCCACCACAGCACCCCCGGGCAGAGCAGCGGGAGCAAGAGCGGGCAGTGCGAGAACAGTGGGCAGAGCGGGAACGGGAAATGGAGCGGCGGGAGCGAACTCGATCAGAGCGTGAATGGGATCGGGACAAAGTTCGAGAAGGGCCCCGCTCCCGATCACGGTCCCGTGATCGCCGCCGCAAGGAACGTGCAAAATCTAAAGAAAAGAAGAGTGAGAAGAAAGGTACTTAGCTGTGGGGGCACACATACCCACTGGTAAGTGGGAAAGGGACCCAAATGGGATGAGACACAGGATCCTATGCATTAAGTCTGGCTCACTTTCTTCCACCTCAGAGAAGGCTCAGGAGGAACCACCAGCCAAGCTTCTGGATGACCTTTTTCGTAAGACCAAGGCAGCTCCCTGCATCTACTGGCTCCCGCTGACAGACAGTCAGGTGAGTGCTGGCCTTCCTGTCCTGGTCACAGCTGCAGCAGGGTTGGGGATGGGCACAGAGGGGTCACATGAGTTCCAGAGTGAGGAGGCCCAGGCATTTCCTTAGAATAATGGAAGAAACTAAGCATCACAAAAGAAGCAGTTTTAAGAACCAGTTGATGAGTCTGCGGTAGAGAAGCCATACCCAAGAGGGTGAAGGTAGACGCAGACAGGAACTGTGCGTGTCCTAGGAAGCTGGCTGTGCCAACCATACTTCTTAGAAATTGATTTCAGTTAGCTGAGCAATCCATGTTTTATAAACCAGTTTCTCTGCTTTTTAATTTCTAGGGATTTTCGCTTTTTAAATTTTTTTCATTGCAACAGGCCTTTTGGTAATTTTAGATTTATGCTATTCAACTAAAGAAAAAGATTTGTTCATATGTAGGCAGCTAGGAAATACCAGAGGCCAGGAATGGATGGTGCCGCTCACTACCTGTCGTGGGTATAAAAGGTGAACACCTGAAGGGACTGGGGCCCTGAGACAGACATGTGATTGCTCAGCGCCCCACCACCACCACACACGCTTCCTCCTTAGCAGCAAAACTGACAGTGATTCTGAGCTTAGGAGTGCCAGGTCCAGGTGCAGATAGAGAGGGACTGGTGTGAACTGGGCTGAGATGCCTCTTCACCTTTCCTGCCTGCTGCAGATTGTTCAGAAGGAGGCAGAGCGAGCTGAACGGGCCAAGGAGCGGGAGAAGCGGCGAAAGGAGCAAGAAGAAGAAGAGCAAAAGGAGCGGGAGAAGGAAGCGGAGCGGGAACGGAACCGACAGTTGGAGCGGGAAAAGCGTCGAGAGCACAGCAGGGAGAGAGACCGGGAGAGAGAGAGGGAACGGGAACGTGACAGGGGGGATAGAGACCGAGATAGGGAAAGGGATCGGGAACGAGGCAGGGAGAGGGACCGCAGAGACACCAAGCGCCACAGCAGGAGCCGGAGTCGGAGCACACCTGTGCGGGACCGGGGTGGGCGCCGCTAGCCAGGAGAACACTGGGGAGAGCTGCAGGCATCAGCCACCCTGCCCTGGGGGGTTCAAGGCCACAGAGGGATAGGTACAATCTCCACCACCCTGGAACCAGGGGTCTTTCACACCATTTGCTCAGTGCTGAAGTATGGCTGCCACCTGTCCCCACATACCAAATGAATCAGTGGCCATCTTACCCCCTTACCCCCATAACCTATCTCTGGGGATTTAGCCCTCTCCTCTCATTTCCCATGAAGTCTGTGAGAGGGAAGAGCTAGGTTAAGGAGGAAGGTGGTTGGCCCAGAGGTGAACAGGCAAGGATCCCCAAACTTATTTCATTTTTCCTCCATCCCGCTCACCACCTCCTTTGGATACTCAACACCCCCCTCTTGGGAACAGCTGGGGCCAGGACTGGGTCACCTATGAGCTGAATCAGCATCTCCTGAGTCCCAGGGCCCCTGCAGTTCCCAGTCTCTTCTGTCCTGCGGCCCTTGCCTCCTGCCCACCGGTTCCACTTTATATCCACCTTTTCCTTTTGTTCAATTTTTATTTTTATTTTTTTTATTATTAAATGATGTGGTCTATGGAAAATAATAAAAATCTGACTTAGTTTTAATTAATGTGTGAGTGGCTTTCCTTGGGCAGGGCCTGCGTGAGAGCCAAATTGAAAAGGATAGCTAAAACGAGACAGCATTGTTTGCATTTCATACTTGTTTAGGCGGGCTGCTGCTTCCTGGAGCCAGGCTTCCCACCACCTCCGCCTTCCCTGCCTTGGCTCTGACCACACTACAGCTGCGGGTCTAGAGGGTACAAGGGAAGACCCCCCTGAGGCCGGTTTTGGGTTCCGGGTCCTGTGCCAGAGGCATTTGGTCACCTGCTTTTCACCTTCAAGGTGCCTCCCACAACTACCACCAGGGGGCGGCAGCCGCTCGCTTGGTAGGCGCCTATAAATGAGCCTCCCGAAGAGGATCCACTACCCACCACCGTCCCCGCCGGTGTCGTACCTCGGTCCCTAACCTGTTCCCTGCGCCCAGCCCGCAGACTCTGGACCCTTCTGCTGGCCTGAAGCGCACCCCAATTGGTCCGCTGCTGTGCCCACGGGCTCCCCAAATGCCGCCGCCTTGCTGTCGGAATCCATACCAGCCCCCAAAGGCCGGTCCGCGATCGGGAACCGGGCCTCCGCAGTAGCTCCTAATTCCACGCCTCGCTCCACGCTCGTCCTTCGCCCCGCTGCAGGGAACCCCGCATGTGAGCCGCTTGGAGCTCTCATGTGCACCGTCCCCGCCAGCTCTGGGGACCTGGCCTGGCACCGTTGCCTGGACGCCCGAGTGCCTGGGTGGCACTGCGGGCCCGTCCCGGGAGGGGCGGTGCATCTGTATGCGCCCAGCAGCCAGGCAGCACCGCCCCCGCCCCCGCGGAGCGGGCCCGGCAGGCCGGGGAGGGTCAGAGGCTGGGCTCTCCTCTCCCGCGCGGCGCGGAGCCGCCTCGCTCCTCCGCAGGCGGAGCCTCCTTCCCCCGCCCCCTCCGTCTCGCTCCCTTGTTCTCGCCGGGGCCGCTCAGACCTGCAGCGGAGCCGCGGCGCCCGCTCGGATCGGCTCGGGGCTGCGCCCCCGGGACCTGGCGACGGGGGCGCTCCCCGCCGGGCTGGGCCCCTCAGCACTGACAGGTAAGGGCCTGCCCTGGAGCCCAGGGTCGGGGATCCGCGGAGGGGCAGCAGGGGGCTCGCAGCCTGAGGGTGTCTTCAGAGCGGTGCGCTCCGCGGCTGGGAGCCCACTACCGACTCCCTTCTCCCGCGCTCTACCTTTCCCTTCTTCCCTCTCACCTCCCGCCCTCTTTTTCCCATTTTCCTCTCCCTTGATGTCTCTTCGCCCTGCCTTCCCTCTGCCTGTTTGAGGTCTCTGCCCCTTTCCTGTCTCCTCAAACCTCTCTCCCTGTTGCCCTGTCTTTCCTCTCCACTTCCTCAGCCTTTTTCCTCCTCTGCCTTTCTCTCCTGTTCTGTTTTTCTCTTTTCCTTTTCCCGCTCTCCTCTTCTTCCCCTGTTCCTTCCTTCCTTCTTCTCTTCCTTTCCTGATCCCGTTTCCCACTCCTCTATCCCTTTCCTTCTCGTCCCGCCTTCCTCTCCGGCTCCCGGCTTCCCTCCGGCTTCCCTCTTCCCTCGGGAGGGAAAGGACTGTCAGGTGTGTCTGCTCTGGGGGAGGAGGGACGCAGCCACAGCTACCTGAGGGGTCCCTACCTAGGAGATAAGGTAGGAGACAGCAGTGGAGAGGGTCCTCTCTCTAGCTCCCTTCCCGCAGTCCCCCCTAGCCACCCCCTCTCCCAGAATGAAGTTCCAGCGGCCTGGTCTGACGCACCCCCCCGCACCCCCGCCCCCTAGCTGAGGGCTGCCCTGCCTGCCCATCGCATAGGCAGAAGGCCCTCTGCCCCCTCCCACCCATTCCCCAGCCTGGTACCTATGACTCCTGTCTGCCTTTCAAACACCAGGCTGCCTCTTTTAATCTCTCCCTCTCTCTTGCTGCCATTCTGTCTCTGTCTCTGTCTGCTGGACAGTCCCCTGATTCTTGGTTTCACTCTCAATCACGCTGTGTCTCTAGCCTCTGCGTCTGCCTCTTCTCCCTACCCAGTATGCTGACCCTGCCCCCAAGTCTACCCCCTCTTTTTTTAGCTCTACCCCCCGCAACCCCAACCACCCCCACTCTACCCCACCAGCCTGGTCCTCCTTCAAGGACTCCAGTTAGCAGTGTAGGCTGGGGGCAGGTTCTGGATAGGTGGATGCCTGCAGAGGAGGGACTTTCACAGGCTCTCAAGCCTGTCGTAGGCTGCGCTCCTTATTATCTTGGCCTGACCCTGGAAACCTGAGACCACACCTCCAGGAACCCCAGCCCCTGGGTTGTAAACCTTTCCTGGGTAGCTCCCATCTCCAGCCCCCTGCTGCCCAACCAGGGAGGACAGGGGCCAGATGGGATTCCAAGCCCTCCCAGCATCCCCTCCCCTGTTTTCTTCGTCTGCTTCTCAGAGTTGACTGGCTGGAGATTTATCAGCTTGAAGGGCTGGAGGTGAATACAGGCAGAGCCTGGGTGGAGGGAAGAATCAGACTGTCTGCTCTCTGTCTTCGTCTGGGTTCTGGGCAGTGGGTGTCTGGCTCCTTAGAGGTTGGCTCTTTAGCATCTACTTCTCGTCGGGGAGAGGATTAAGGGTTTTCCTGACCCTGAACAGCTACCTGTCCTGCAGGTGTGGATCCATGGGGTAGCCCCAGTGTGTGTGCCCCTCTGCCCCAGCCAGCTCATGCCTCAGCAGCCGGGGTCAGTGAACAGAGCCCAGGCTGGAGGCCAAATATGTGGGGCCTGGTGAGGCTCCTGCTGGCCTGGCTGGGTGGCTGGGGCTGCATGGGGCGCCTGGCAGCTCCAGCCCGGGCCTGGGCAGGGTCTCGGGGAGGCCCAGGACCAGCATTGCTGCGGACCCGAAGGAGCTGGGTGTGGAATCAGTTCTTTGTCATTGAGGAATATGCCGGTCCAGAGCCCGTCCTCATTGGCAAGGTAAGGATCAAGCCCTCCCACGGCTACCCCTGACTCACAAGGCCCTGAGGCCCTACCCTGCAACCTCATTACTTCTGCAATGACCTTGGTCCCTCAGGATTCCCAACACACCACCCTACAGTTCTAGACTTAGGCTCTTTAACCTTCTGTCCCTCTGGGTGGAACCCACTGCCATTTTCCCCTGACCCCTACAGCTGCACTCTGATGTGGACCGAGGCGAGGGCCGCACCAAGTACCTGCTGACCGGGGAGGGAGCAGGTACCGTATTTGTGATTGACGAGGCCACAGGCAATATCCATGTCACCAAGAGCCTGGACAGGGAGGAGAAGGCACAGTATGTGCTACTGGCCCAAGCTGTGGACCGGGCCTCCAACCGGCCCCTGGAACCCCCATCAGAGTTCATCATCAAGGTGCAAGACATCAATGACAATCCCCCCATCTTTCCCCTCGGACCCTACCATGCCACAGTGCCTGAGATGTCCAATGTTGGTGAGTGCTCCAACTCTGAACGTCCCAGATCCCATCTCCTGGTGTGTCCTCTCCTCTCCTTCCTCCATTGCTTGCTGTCCCAGAACCCACCTCCTTTGATTCAGCCCAGCTCAGGTCTGGGTCCTCCTCACCTGATGTTCTACCCCACCTGGCCTTGCCCCTGCTGAGTGGAGTGCCGGGACCCCCACAGGGACATCGGTGATCCAGGTGACTGCTCATGATGCTGATGACCCCAGCTACGGGAACAGTGCCAAGCTGGTGTACACTGTGCTGGATGGACTGCCTTTCTTCTCTGTAGACCCCCAGACTGGTGAGAGTAGAGCTCAGGAGTGGTGGGGCAGCCATGGGAACAGGCACCCCCTGACCCAGTATCTCTCCCAAGGAGTCGTGCGTACAGCCATACCCAACATGGACCGGGAGACGCAGGAGGAATTCTTGGTGGTGATTCAGGCCAAGGACATGGGCGGCCACATGGGGGGGCTGTCGGGCAGCACTACGGTGACAGTCACCCTCAGCGATGTCAACGACAATCCCCCCAAGTTCCCTCAAAGTAAGGGGCCAGTGCCACCGCCTGAGCTATCTTTTGACCACACCACTGCCCTCTCCCCAGAAGACTTCCGTCCCCACCCCTCCCCAATCCAGGCCCTGGGAGAAGGAAGTACTGGGGGAGAGAGGAGGGCTGGAGACCTCTCTAAGAATGTCTTTTCCATGCACCCCCAAGGCCTATATCAGTTCTCTGTGGTGGAGACGGCTGGGCCAGGCACCCTGGTGGGCCGGCTGCGGGCCCAGGACCCAGACCTGGGGGACAACGCCCTCATGGCATACAGCATCCTGGATGGGGAGGGGGCCGAGGTCTTCAGCATCAGCACAGATACCCAGGGTCGAGATGGGCTCCTCACCGTCCGAAAGGTTAGCCTCCTGCCTGCTAAGGCTTTCAGACTCACTCATACCCACCTCCTGTCCCCTGATCTAGAACGGACTCAGGACCCTGGGTTGCAGCTTAGAGATCATGTTCATCCCCTCCTCTTTCAGATGCGGGCCTGGGGCCCAGATAAGGCGAGTGCCTGGCTCAAGACTCTCCATACAGCAAGTCTGTGATGGAGCTGGGGACAGACCTAGAGTTACTCACTGTCATCTGCCCCCACTTTTAACTACCAAAGCCACTGAGGAGAGCTAAGCACTAGATGTGTGTGAAGGGACTCCTCACTTTCCAGGAGCCTGGGCCTGCCCTGGTTTCTACATGTCAGTCACTGCACCCTCCCTCACCATAGCCCCTGGACTTCGAGACCTGTCGCTCCTACTCCTTCCGTGTGGAGGCCACCAACACACTTATCGACCCAGCCTACCTGCGGCGAGGGCCCTTCAAGGACGTGGCCTCAGTGCGCGTGGCTGTGCAGGATGCCCCAGAGCCACCCGCCTTCACCCAGGCTGCCTATCACCTGGTGGTGCCTGAGAATAAGTCTCCTGGAACCCTGGTGGGTCAGGTCTCAGCCACGGACCTGGACTCCCCAGCCAGCCCTATCAGGTGAGCGAGGGTATCTCAGGGCAGGGCCAGGCCTGGGGAAAGGTGCCCAGTGGCAGGCTAGTCCCACAGAAGATGAGCCTCCTTTACTGTAAATCACATTCACCGCCTGGCAGAGGTCTCCCTCCATGGGGGCCTGGGACCAGGAGAAGGCTGAAGGACCTGGCTAAGCCCTCTGAGACTCTCCACCAATCCCTCTGGGTGGATAATAGTGGCGCCCCCCAGTGGCAGTGCAAGCAGATCTAATTTCATCTGCTGAGTGCAGTTGATCCTTGATGCTTTACCCATTTGGTGACATTTAGTTCTCACGACTGCCCTACGAAGTAGGCATTTTCATCACAGTCGTTTTAGAGGCTGGCCCCTGAGAGGTTAAGTAGCTTGCCCAAGTCAATAGTCAGTAAGTGGTAGAGCTGGGACTCAAACCTGGACTGTCTCCCTCAAGAAGAACCACTCCACCTCCTAGCCAGCATCCCTATCACAGCATTGAGGGATGTACTGGTGTCATTCTCATTTTGTCATTGAGGAAACAGAGGTTAAACAATTTGCCCAAGGTCACACAGCTGATCTGAGGCAGAGCTGGGCTAGAACACAGGTCCCGGGGTCCCCAGAACAGACCCCAGAGTCTGAAAGACAGGCAGTGTCTCTCCCTTTCCACCTCTTTCTGTCCCTCTCCCCCACCTCCAGGAAACCCAGTCCCCTGAGTCTCAAGACAGGTGTTTAATGTTGATGACTTCCCAGGAGCTCACACCCTCTGCCCAGATGAGCCATGAGGCCCAGCAAGGGGACAGAGGGAGGGAGGGAAAGAAAGAGGAAGGGAGGGGGGAGCGGCAAGCTGTGGCCCTGCCCCCAGACCAGCCCCAGCTCCGTTCCATCCTCTCCAGATACTCCATCCTCCCCCACTCGGATCTGGAGCGCTGCTTCTCTATTGAGCCCGAGGATGGCACCATCCGCACGGCAGTGTCCCTGGACCGAGAGGCCCATGTCTGGCACAACCTCACAGTGCTGGCCACAGAGCTCGGTGAGGTGTCCCCAGGCCCCCGGACACCCAGGAGAAGACAGCAGCCTCCTGGCAAAGGGGCTGTCCCTGAGCATGGGGGGTGAGGAAGGGAAGTTACTGCTGTCGAACCTTCACCAGTGAGTGTAGTGAGTCCCTCGCCTGGATCATTACCACCAGGCAGACCTCCTGTTCTAGGCTGGGCTGGACTGGGCACAGCGGGCCTGCCCGAGCCCAGTTTCACTCTGACTTTTCCCATCCTGAAAATAAACCTAACCTCAAATAGCTCCCAATCCCTGAACCAACCTCAACCTACACCCTGGCAGACCCTGCACTGCCCACTCTGCTTCGGGCTGCAGCCAGGAGCCAGGGAAGGGCTGGGAGCCTCCTCTGGGGGCTTATTAAGGGGGTCCAGCAGTAGCTCCCAGGGGAGCCCTCAAGGTAGGGGAGAATGCTGGCCCTTGTCCTGCCCCTGTTAGTCACCAGTCAGTCACCAGTCACCAGCAACGTGGTTCAGCTGCCTCTGGGCAGCTCCGGCACATGGAGGCAGGGAGATCCCCTCCCCTCTGTGAATCTGCCCTTATCATCCCTTCTCACACCCCAAGATGTCCTACATTTGCTATGTCCTTTTGATGGGAATTGTCACTGTATGTGTAGACATTTGTACGTGTCATAAGAGCTATATGTATGTGTGGGTGTGCTTATATGCATGTATAATTCATGTGTGTGAAAAATACATATACATACACACACGTATTTGTAAGTATATGTCTATAACCAGATACGTGTATATAGTTGAGTGTAGCAAATTACAGTTATATAATTTGTGCATATGTGTAATCGGATGTATAATAATAATAGGTAAAAGTAGCTGGTTATATCTATGGTTTTGCATACATGAGTGTTCATGGACAGAAAATAGTAATTTATTACTTATTGTGTGTCAGGCACCGGTCTAAGTACCAAATATGGATTCATTCATTTAATCATCACCACAAGTTTATGAGGGAAGTATGATCAGTTCCCCATTTTACAGTGAGAAAACTCAGGCAAAGAGAAGTTAACTTCCCAAGGTCACACAGAGATGAAGTGGTGGTGGAGCTGACAGACCCAGTCAGGCTGCAGAGTCTGAGCTGTTACCTCCTCCACTGTACTGCTTTCATGTGTTATTGAATTACACGTGTATAGGTTTGCGTTTATGTCCATGCAGCCGTGTGTTACATGGCAGTGCATGTATGTCTGTCCATGAGTGTATATATAGTGTGTGTTGCGGCTGCCTGTGTATATGTTGCCCTGTGTGTGTGTGTGTGTGTGTGTGTGTGTGTGTGTGTGTGTTTCCCCTCACTGTCTTCTCACCCTCCTGCCAAATCCTGCTCCCTCCTGGAATCCCAATAACAATTAGCAGGCCTGGCCTTACTGCAGTGAAGGAATGGACCCCAGCTCCATCCTGTCTCTGGGGTATCCCAGACCCTTTAGCCAGGCAGTCCACTCAGTGTCCTCACCAGGCTGCAACCTTCAAGGCCAGCCAATTCTCCTCGTGCCAGGGGGAGAGACTAAAGGAACCAGAGGCTCAGCCTAGGAGAGGTGAGCACCAGGGTGGTGGTCAGGCATATACACTTTCCATTCTCTCTTGGGTAGCACTGGCAGTGAGGGCAAAGCTGGGCTGGGGGTGGTAGAGGAAGAAGGAAGGAGGCAGGCAGAGGTAATGGTGGGGAGCCACCTGATGAAGGGATGGGAGAAGAGGAGCCTACATCTGCCTCTGCTGCCCAGGCCAGCCTGGCTCTGCACCCTGTGTATCATGCAGCTCCTCCCTCCCCAAGGTCAACTCTAAGTGATACTCATTGCTGTACCACAGTCTTCTAGACCTCTGATGGGGTGCACACACATGTGTTTGTGTGTGTGTGTGTGTGTGTGTGTGTGTGTGTCTGTCTGTCTGTCTGTCCTCCCACCAATGCTGTGCATGAAAATGTGTTCTCTGAACCTTGGGGGTGGTGATGCTGCATTCACTCTGTATATTAAACATCCACTTCATGTATGTTGCATTTGTTTTAAATGCTGAGTATCCTTTGAATATATGGTATGAATATGTTTGTGTATTTCATGGCTATTGTCTGCATACAACTTGTATACACCTTCTGTCTACCTTTCATTTATGGTGCATGTGCCCTGCATATGGATTATTGTATATGTATATCATGGGTGCTACATTCCTGTTGAATATATATGGTATATTGCACATATATTGTGTACTACATGAATGTTATATGCACTTGGTGTTGTTCCGTTCATTTCACATTGTTCGCTACTTGCCAACTGCATACATATTTCATGTGTTGCATGTACATGCTATGTACTGCATGTGGCATCCATGCCCATGTACCACGTGTGACTGTTGTGTGTGCGTGGGGGGGGGCCTGTATGTGTTCATCTTCTGGCTTCAGACAGCTCCGCACAGGCCTCCCGTGTGCAAGTGGCCATCCAGACCTTGGATGAGAATGACAATGCTCCCCAGCTGGCTGAGCCCTACGACACTTTTGTGTGTGATTCTGCAGCCCCTGGCCAGGTGAGCCACTGAGACGGAGGGGTTGGGACCTCAAGACCTCCAGCTGCCCTCTCCACACAAGGCCTGTCTTCTTCCTCCCAGCTGATTCAGGTCATCCGGGCCCTGGACAGAGATGAAGCTGGCAACAGTAGCCGTGTCTCCCTTCAAGGTCCTGTGGGGCCCGATGCCAACTTCACTGTCCGGGATAACCGAGGTGGGTGGCCTCTTATAACCATACCTCTGCCTGCCTCCTTCCTTCCTCCTCTACCACCCCCAACCCAGCCTCCCTGACCTGCCTGACCTGCCTGACCTGCCTGACCTGCCTGCCTACCTGGGCCCTCCACCTAACAATGTAGATGTGGATTTGCACATTTGTTTATTGCAAACCTTCCCCTTAGGAAGCTGTCTCCATGGGCCAGACTGACCCAACTGGGAAGGTGTCCCAGGAAGTTCCCTTAACCTTCCCTCTCTCATAGATGGCTCTGCCAGCCTGCTGCTGCCCTCTCGCCCTGCTCTGCCACGCCAGGCCCCCTACATGGTTCCTATAGAACTGTGGGATTGGGGGCAGCCAGCACTGAGCAGCACTGCCACCGTGACTGTCAGCATGTGCCGCTGCCGGCCTGATGGCTCTGTGGCATCCTGCTGGCCTGAAGCTCAGCTCTCACCCACTGGGCTCAGCACCGGGGCCCTGCTTGCCATCATCACCTGTGTAGGCACCCTGCTTGGTGAGTCACACCACAGTGGGACATAGATGTGGGTGGGGTCCAGGCCTTCAGGGGTGTGGAAAGGAATCAGGATCCTGGATATAGGGAAATCCATCATAGGGCTCACAGGAGCCCTCATGCCTGGTTTGTTCCACTGCCTGATGCATCCAAGAGAAAAGCTCTGGCCGGTTATCCCTGACCTGCTTATCTGTAATGACAATAACAAGCCATATACACTGTTTATTGAGCCCTGACTCTGGGCACATGTGGCATTGGCCGTAACACTTAGGATATTTCATTTCATCCTTTCAACAGCCCTGCTGTAAATGCTTTCCCTGTTTTCCACGTAAGAATCAATCTAAGAGTCAAAGAGGTTGAGAGAAGTTAGGCAACTCCCCATGCTCACACAACAAGTAAGGGATGAAGTCAGGATTCACAGGAGGTTTACCAGATGTCAAACCTAGGGCTTGCCACCCTTAGGCCACACTGCCTCCTCTGTCACCCAACCCTTCTGCCCGGCCCCGCCGGCTCAGCGGCCTGTGTGGCCTCTCCTCCAGCCCTGGTGGTGCTCTTCGTGGCCCTGCGGCGTCAGAAGCAAGAAGCACTGATGGTGCTGGAGGAGGAAGACGTCCGTGAGAACATCATCACCTACGATGACGAGGGCGGCGGCGAAGAAGACACAGAGGCCTTCGACATCAGCGCCCTGCAGAACCCCGACGGGGCGGTTGACTTGACAATCCTCATTCTGTAATTTGCTTCTATCTCCTGTAAAATAGGAAATGATAACATGAGCTTTCAGTGTTTAACAAGGATGTTGTTATAAAAGGCTAATTAAAATGCATTACGACGACCCCAGCGTGCCGCCCTACGACTCCGTGCAGGTGTATGGCTACGAGGGCCGCGGCTCCTCTTGTGGCTCCCTCAGCTCCCTGGGCTCT